TCATGTATTAAGATCTATATGGTCCTTATACTGTGAACAGTTAATAATTGGTTCTGTGGCTGATTAGTGGAAACATGACTCAGAGGTCATTGTGAGGGATACTCCGGATTATAAGGCATTGCCCCTTTCTTCCCACTACATCATTAGTTCTGAATTTCATTTATTTTAGTGGTTTTCAACCTGTGGTTCCCAGGTGTTTTGGCCTGCAATTTCCAGATATCCCAGCCAGTTTATCTGCTGTTAGGATTTCTGGGAGTTGCAGGCCAAAACATCCGGGGATCCACAGGTTGAGAACCACTGATTTATTTTATTGTGTTTGTATAGATCACAACTTTACACCATTTTTCCAAAGGGTTCAGAACAGTTTTATTTTTTCCAACTGTCCTGTAAGTTTAAGTAAGTCAGACTCAGAGCCAGCCCTAGGTTGATATGATTCATCAGTATTTGGCTGATGCTAACATCTTTGCTTTCCCTTTGTTTCAAAGGTTAACATTAGTGTCTAGACCTTGAACAAATGTTCTCACCTAGATTATGGCATTGGAAAATCATAAAACAGCTGATATCATGTCACTTTGCTGTTCCAAAGTGTTTCCCAAGGTTGTCACTCTATGTCTGGATCTACATTGCCATATAATGCAGTTCGAATCTCCATTATATAGCAGTGTAGATCTTGCCTATGTTCTGCTACTAGAGCTAGCTGAATGTCTTGCTTTGGAGGCAAAGGCATACTACACTGTTAAGAGTGAAATTACATCTAATCAAAGTTGCTATGCAAAGTCATTCGTGATTTGACGCACAAGAACATTTCCCAATGTCTGTCAGCATGTTTGCCGTATTTAAAGAGATGTCCACTTCATCCCAAAGCAAAGATACAGGGCTTGGAGGGAAGGTAACCTCCAGGTGATCTGACAAGCATCTTTATCTAAGGGGGAGAGGTCATATTGCCTCACGTAAGTCAAACATATTTAAAGCAGAGCCTTTACTCAAGACCTTATAAATAAAATGCTCTTCATCCCATTACCAATATTGTTTCACTTTTTATATACCTTTGTTTTTCCAGAGATCACAGTGTTTGATGCCAGAGATAGCTTATCCAAATAATATATTCGGGTAAAATGTAAAACCCAGGTTTGGAATTGACTAGTTAATTTGAGATTTAATTCTGGGATTTGATTCCAGGATCCCTGATAGATACCAAAATTCATATATACCAGCTCATTAAAACTGTGGCGCTTATATAAAATGGCAAAATCAAGATTTGCTTTTAGGATTTAAAAATACTTTCAAACCATGGATGGTGGAATCCATGGATGTAGAATCTGTGTACATGAGGGTTGCGGTAGCAAGGGACTGCGGTAGTACAGCAGGTTAAACCGCTAGCTGCAGGAAATCTGCTGACTGGAAGGTTGGCAGTTTGAAGCCATGAGTCAGGATGAGCTCCTGACTGACAGTCCTAGCTTCTATCAACCTAGCAGTAAGTCAATACCACCTCAGCAGAAAGGCGTCCCATGCAGGTATGCAGGCATGCCAGCACCTCAGAGATGTCTATGGACAACAGGCTCCTCAGCATGGAAAAATGGAACAAGAGCACCCCATGGCCAGAGTTGAGCATCACCTCCAGATGCCAGAGATGGAAAAATGGGGAAAGCTTTATCTTTGTCTATGTTGTATGTCGTTGTTCACTGTTGTGTACAAGGCATTGAATGTTTGCCTGATATATGCATTGCAATCTGCTTTGACCCCCTCCAGGGAGATAAAGCAGAATATAAATAAAGTGTATATCTTGATAAACCCACTAAATCTCTCAGATCTGCACCAAGAAATATGCTTTAGGTCAGGCATCTTCAAACTGTGGCCTTCCAGCTGTTTGTGCCTCCAACTCCCAGAAGCCCTAATGAGCTTGTTCAATTGTCAGGAATGGAGCCCCCGGTGGCGCAGTGGGTTAAACCCATGTGCCGGCAGGACTGAAGACCGACAGGTCACAGGTTCGAATCCGGGGAGAGGCGGATGAGCTCCCTCTATCAGCTCCAGCTACTCATGGGGAGACATGAGAGAAGCCTCCCACAAGGATGATAAAAAAACATCAATTCATCCGGGCGTCCCCTGGGCAACGTCCTTGCAGACGGCCAAGTCTCTCACACCAGAAGTGACTTGCAGTTTCTCAAGTTGCTCCTGACACAACAAAAAAAAATTGTCAGGAATTCTGGGAGTTGAAGGCCCAAACAGCTGGAAGGCCGCAGTTTGAGGATTCTTATTTTAGGTTGCTAGACATCATTATAATGTGTTAGGGAGATGTCTCTTCATCTGTCACATTCAGTAAAGGAAAAAGTGTAGCTGGCTCAGGTTTTAGGTATGTTAGAATGAGAAAGAGAGCTTTATGGAGGTCATGTACAAGCAATTGAAGAGACAACATGGAAAGAATGGAAAACTGAAAAAATAGAGACACAGAATGGAATGAGGATGGGATGGAAACCAGGGTCCTTCAGAATAGCAGGTTAAAAGGCATCTCCCCTTTGTGGACCTGTATAGCAGGAAAGTGTGGCAAGAAGTGCATTGTGACTCTTTTCAGTGACTTCTTCTTCCTGTTTGTATTATTCTATAACATTGTTTCTTGCATATTTGGGGGGAGAGGGCACCGGTTGTAATGAATCTCTTTGCAACTTCATTTGAACAAACAAGTGAAATGTTTTCTCACTGCTTCTCTCTTCCATTTCCTCTTTTTCTTGGTATCTCTATCTCTGTCTTCCTCTTTATGTTTCCCTCTCCCCTCGCCCATCACACCCTTCTTGTTCTTCTTTCTACTTGCTTTCTTTTTAATTATATGGCTATCTGCCACTAAACTCTTTGTGAATGATGTTAGTCTTCACCCCCCTCCCCCCCAAAAGGAGAAGAGTAATGTAGACCTTTTACATTTAGAACAGATTACCGAGATATACGCTTTGACAGGTCCCATTAGATAATGCAGGCTCTAGTTGATAAAGGTACATTACATATTAATCTTTTTACCACAATAATCTTTCTATCCTTCAAAGGTTATGGGTTTTACTAGATAAAAATAAAGCATGGACTATTCAGAAATTGTCATATTAGCATCTAAAATATTATTCACATAAGAAAAATTGGTATTGATTAATTAATTTATGCTACTAGTATGCAAGAAACTAAGGTAATGGGAGCTTATACTAAGAGTGGAGGAGAAAGGAAGAGAAAAATGCACATAGATTTAGTTACGTGAGTGCCTAAAGCAGGTTCCCATGTATGAGGATAGACTTCAGACATATCTAGGGAGGGAATCCTACAGTCACTTCCTTTTAAGAGAAAGGCTACAAAGAAAGCTATCATCCTTGAAGTAATTCACTAAAAAATGAAGGGAGAAGAGGGGAAAAGTCTCACCCTAGCGATCTGTACATAGATCTGACAAGTGGGAGGAGGGAAACAAGGACTCCCATTTCACATGCCACTGTTTATGGCAGTGGTTCCCAACCTGTGGTCTGTGGACCACCAGTGGTCCACAAGAACGAAAATATGGTCTGTGGCCTTACCATTACTACACCGTTGCCTTGGAACCATGCGGCAACGGGAGCGACTGGTCTTGCGAAACCCTCAGGCAACAGGGATGTTGGGAGGGGAGAGGCTGACTATCCATGAAAGATTACTACTACCGCATCAGCTCTAGATTATTAAATTTTATTTTCTGAGGGCAAGCAGATGGCGACTACTGAATGGCATAGTCCTGTATCAGAAATTAGAGGTGATGTAGTCTATCCAATGCAATTTTCTGAATCAGCACCCCAAATAACTGCACCAAATCTAAAGCTGTCCAAAACTGGTTTGTAACCCTTTTAGTACTAATGTTGGAGATTTGTCCTTGGTCAAGTGATCCCTGATCAAAAAAAGGTTGGGAACCATTGGTTTATGAGATCCCTGTGTTGATGCCTTCATTCTTACCCACCTGCAAACATATGTACTTCTTCATATTATGTGCAGTGAGCTGGGCCTCTCTGGCAGATAGAGGGGTTTTAGAGCTCTTGTTGCCATCATGGCCAAGAACCGACAGCTGTGCCGTGGCATGAAAGAGTTAACTTGTATCCATGACCTTGATAGATACTTGTGCATTGGCTTTGTAGTTTGTGACTGGAAAAAGATAGGAAGGCTGAGAAAATATGGGGGAGTTAGTTTCTTCCAGCTGCTAACCTGCTTGCAGTTCTCATTTACTGTTAAGGGCGAGTTGGGTTATGTTTGCATATTTTGATTTTATTTGTTTCTTTCTCACTCTATAACCTTTGGGAATCCATCTCCCACTTGTCTTGCCATGGGAGGTAGCATGCACCCCAGTTCAGGTGCCCTTATGTTCAGCTATCGGGATGTAATTTGATTGCTGTACAAAGAGATAATTCTGAATTTGTTCAGGAGCTCAGTTCTATTATTAGCTGTGAGGATGCTGGAATGGCATCAGCAGAAGAGCAGAATGTGCTTCTGCTAGGTATCAACTGCTTTCCAACAAAGCTTATGCTATAGCAGTAATGTGTGTCATGTAGATCACAGCTCTTAAACTATGGGTCTCAACCCCAAATGATGTCCTCTTACCTCAATGTTGGGGTTGCAAAAAATAACGGCAACAGTTTCTGAATGCTACCTAGGTATTTACACAAATCTGTTAGCAACAATGTAAATATGTTACTGTGGACTCTGGAGAAAATGCTTCAGCTGTACTTCATGAAAAGGAAAACCTGCTTGTTTAGCAAGTCTAGCAAATGCTAATTTATTTTCAGTAAAAGTTTGACTTGTATTCCTATTGTATATACTTATATACCTGTGGTTGTGTAGAAATTTCTTGGGCAGAAAGGAGTTGCAAGTGAAAAAAGTTAAACGGAGCCTTGAGGAAACCTGGAACTACACCCAGTCCCAGACTAATTACATGCTGTTTAAAGTTCTCTGTGGCATGTGATTTTCAACACTAATTCTTATTTATATTTGTGTCTTTTTTGCTTCCTCCTTAGGCTCATTCAAGAGTCTGGCATACTTACGACAAAGATTTCCGATCACATCAGAAAGGATTTTTGTCAATAACATTGGGATCCCACTGGATTGAACCTAACAAATTCAAGGACAGTTCGGATATTACAAAGTGCCAGCAATCCATGCAGAAAGTGCTTGGATGGTTTGCAAAACCAATACACGGGGATGGAGATTATCCAGAAGAGCTGAAGAATGAACTCCCCTCTGTCTTGCCAAATTTCACAAACACAGAGAAAAGCCAAATTAAAGGGACTGCTGACTTCTTTGCATTTTCATTTGGCCCAAATAATTTTACACCACCAAATAAACTCCCCAGAATGGGGCAAACATTTTCACTCAACCTGAGGGGAGTACTGAAATGGATTAAATTGGAATATAACAATCCTAGAATCCTAATTGCAGAAAATGGGTGGTTCACTAATGGCCACGTAAAAACAGAAGATACCACCATCATCTACTTAATGAAGAATTTTGTCAACAAGGTCTTACAAGGTTGGTAAACCTATTGGGTATTTGAGAGCCCACTAAAGTATTGAAAAGACAGGATTTAGACCAGGCTGTGTTTTTTGAATTAGTATTTGAGAATGAGCTAATGTGCACACCATAATGTATGCCTCTTATCAACATCTGTTCTGCGTGACTAACCTAAATGTGTGAATTTTCTGGGGAGGTAAGAAAAGCCTCCCATATTAAACTAAACCATTTTAAAACCATCTCCTTGTGCAAATCAAAATGCTTCTAAGATTTTCATTTTGCTAATATGATCTTTTCATGTATTTATGTCCCCTATGTAGTTATCAAATATGATCAAATTGATGTATTTGGCTACACGGCTTGGTCTCTCCTTGATGGATATGAGTGGCAACAAGGCACAAGCAACAGACGAGGATTATTTTATGTTGATTTCAATAGTAAAGAAAAGGAGCGGGTGCCCAAGACATCTGCTCTTTATTACAAGCAAATAATACAGGCAAATGGCTTTCCTTTGAAGGACTCGACCTCAGCTTTGCACAGTCAGTTTCCCTGTGACTTCTCCTGGGGCGTGACAGAATCAGTTATTAAGGTAAGCATTTTGTATTTGTAGGCTCTAAAAACTAACCATAACATTTTGCTTATGCACAATCATTTAACATGTCAAATATCACACATTCAGTATTCCCAAATCCTCTGGATACTATATTAGAGATATGTTGGGCACTGAATCTTTGGTGCTTTACTGAGATTTATGACCTCATCACAGGGGTAGAATTGCCCATAGGTGAGGGGCTACAGCCGATAAGGCTCTGTCTCTCGTTCCCACCGGACGTATTTGTGACACTGGCGGGAGTGAGAGCAGGGTCTCCCCAGATGAACTGTAAGGCGGGACGTAGAGGGAGATGCATTCAGACAAGTAAGCTGGGCCAGAACCATATAGAGCTTTATAGGTCAAAACCAGCACTTTGAATTGAGTTCGGAAGTGGATTGGCAGCCAGTGGAGCTGACACAACAAGGGAGTGGTATGCTCCCTGTATGTCACTCCAGTTAGTAATGTGGCTACAGCCCGTTGGACTAGTTGAAGCTTCCAAACAGTCTTCAAAGGCAACCCCACATAGAGCGCATTGCAGTAGTCTATTCAGGATGTAGCAAGAGTGTGGACCACCATGGCTAAGTCTGACTTCCCAAAGTACAAGTTGCACACAAGTTCCCTTATCTCATTGAATCTAATGGGAAAGGGGGGATGCCTGCTGCATTCTGGTAACCCCTGCCTAGCCGACTTTTCCTAGTAGTTTAATCCAGAATCTGCATCTTCATAGCCATCAACTCAATTTCCCCACATTTTTGATTTGTATGATATTGCTTCCCACTAAGGCTGTTACTAATGGATATACAATCAAATGGCGACACCTAATGATAGTAGTGGGGAAGTGCTTTACTCTTTAGATGTATAGCCTTGATGGGAATAGAAATAGCATGAACTAAAAGAAGAAATGCTATCATTGGTGCCTCTTTTAGCTGGCAGAAGATGCTAAATCAATATTCCTGCTTAAATTAAAAAGGAAATCCATTATTCTTCTTTACAGGCAGAATCTGTTGCTTCCTCTCCCCAGTTCTGCGATCCCAACCTGTATCTCTGGAATGTTACTGGGGATGGACTTTTCTACCAGGTGAAAGGAGTGAAACTGAAAACCCGTCCAGCCCAGTGTACTGATTTCATCAGTATTAAAACACAGCTAGAGCTCTTGTCTAAAATGAAAATCACTCACTACAGATTTGCACTTGACTGGTCGCTGCTTCTGCCCAGTGGCAATTTGTCATCCATAAACCATCAAGTCCTTCGCTACTATCGCTGTGTAATTAGTGAGATGCTCAAACTCAACGTGAAACCTGTGGTTACTCTACATTATCCAACTTACCGCTCTTTGGGCTTGCCTACTCCTTTAATTCAAAATGGCGGATGGTTGAATCGGTCCACTGTCCACGCTTTCAGAGACTATGCAGGGATGTGTTTCCAGGAGCTTGGTGACTTGGTTGAACTCTGGATCACAATAAACGAACCAAACCGTTTCAACGATGTTTACAACGGCAGCAGTAATGATACGTACAAGGCAGTGCACCATGCACTGATAGCACACGCTTTGGCATGGCGCCTGTATGATGAACAATATCGGTCATTTCAGCATGGTCGAGTATCTTTGTCTCTGCATTCAGACTGGGCCGAACCAGCCAATCCTTTTCTTGACACTCACCGAAAAGCTGCTGAAAGGTTCCTTCAGTTCGAAATAGCATGGCTTTCGGACCCAATCTTTAAAACAGGGGACTATCCAGAAGCTATGAGAGGATATCTGGACTATAAGAAAAATGAAGGTCTCTCCCGTTCCTCTCTGCCATATTTTACTGACGAAGAAAAGGAACTCGTAAAAGGGGCTGCTGATTTTTTTGCCCTGAATCACTTCACCACAAGATTTGTGATTCATGAGTCCAAAAATGGAAGTCGGTATGAATTTGATCAAGACATTCAATTTCTGCAAGATTTCACTTACCTGCTTTCTCCGTTTCGCTCAGCGGTCGTCCCATCAGGGTTACGGAAAGTCCTGAATTGGGTTAAAAAGTATTACGGTGACGTTGATATCTATATCACGGCAAGTGGAATAGATGATCAGCCTCTAAATGACAACCTTCGTAAATTCTACATTGAGAAGTATGTACAGGAAGCCTTAAAAGGTGAGAACATGATAATAGAGAAGAATGTCAAATGTATTCAAAAGTGCACCTTTTTAGAAATAGACTCATTGCATATATATAGCGTATTTTAAAAGGATTCAAGCATTCATTACACAAAGTATTTCATTATACATTGACTGGGCATAAAGGTGAAACTAGTAGTATTTCCATAGTGGGAGATTGTGATTGAGCAAATATTCTTGTTCACTTTGTGCTAGCATTTATATCCTATTCTTCCTTCCAAGGGCTCAAGATAGATAGCTTATGTGTTAAGATATGTCAAAAGACAATGACTCACTCAATTCAGCTGAATAACCAAATGAGAAGTTAAATCAAAAGCTGTAGCACTTTACTACTTAACAGTCTTAGTAGCTCTTTATCACCCTGGCGGTTGTATACCCAGAGTTTGGAATGTCAATTTTTAAAAGGAGCTGGTTACTTTAGCAATCACTATGATCACTGAGAAAGTTACCTTGTTACTATTCCCATAGCCCTCGGAGCTTATTCATTACTTCAAAGTTGTCATTACTGTCAAAGTTTCTGCTATTTGAAAATCAAGGGGAATTTATTTATTTATTTATTTATTTATTTCCAGTATTGCTACCCCGTTCTTCTCAACCCCCGAAGGGGAACACAGGACGGCATACATTTGGCACAATTTGATGCCATTAAGTGTAACAAAGCAATATAACAACATTTAAAACAATAAATGGCACATTAATTAAAACAATAAAAACAGTATTAACCGCCATATCACCATTCCAGTCAAATTCCATATCCAAAGTGCTATTTATGCCTGCTGTCCAAAAGCCTGGTCCAAGAACCACGACTTCAATTTCTTCCTAAAAGGCAGGAGTGATGAAGCCAATCTTACCTTGTTGGGAAGCGAGTTCCACAGGCAGGGGCTACAACCGAGAAGACCCTGTCTCTTGTTCCTGCTAGACATATTTGTGATGCTAGCAGGAGCGAGAGCAGGGTCCCCCTGGATGATCTTAAACTGCAAGGTGGGACATAGAGAGAGATGCGTTAGTAAGCTGGGCCAGAAACATATAGAGCTTTATAGGTCATAACCAGCACTTTGAATTGAGTTCGGAAGTGGATTGGCAGCCAGTGGAGCTGACACAACAAGGGGGTGATATGCTCCCTGTATGTCGCTCCAGTTAGTAATCTGGCTGTAGCCTGTTGGACTAGTTGAAGTTTCCAAACAGTCTTCAAAGGCAGCCCCATGTAGGCAGCCCCACGTAGAGTGTGTTGCAGTAATCTATTCAGGATGTAACAAGAGTGTGGACCACTGTTGCCAGATCAGACTTCCCAAGGTACGGGTGCAGCTGGCGCACATGCTTTAACTGTGCAAAAGCTTCCCTGGCCACCGCAGAAACCTGGGGTTCCAGGCTCAGCGATGAATCCAGGATTACTCCCAATCTGCGAACCTGCGTCTTCAGCGGGATTGTAACCCCATCCAACACAGGCTGTAACCCTATGCCCTGTTTGGCCTTTCGACTGACCAGTAGGACCTCTGTCTTGTCTGGATTCAGTTTCAATTTGTTAGCCCTCATCCAGTCTGACACAGCGGCCAAGCACCAGTTCAAGGTCTGAACAGCCTCCTTAGTAACGGGTGGGAAGGATTTGGACATCATCTGCTTTCTAGTTTCAGATATCCTACTTTGGAAATTAGTTTTGTAATGAAAACTTTCTGCACAAGGTAGACACTCATGTGGCTTTCTTCCATCTATTGCTCAGACTGAGACAGCACACAGTAATAAGTAACAGGCAGATACTTATTTCTATTTTGTGGGAAATTTGTGAATTTAGACCATGGCTATTAAAGGCAAGAGCTAACTCTGTTCCAGTTCCTCATTGTAAAATGTACATTTGAACACTCACCTAATAACACCTTAATCTAGTGTATTCTTGATCAGAAATCTATAACTATATATCAGGTAGCATATTCTTTTGTCTGCATTAAATGCTATCAGGTATCAAATGCAATGTAAAGCATTACAGTACATTCTAATATCTTTCTGATTATAATCTTCAACTATCTGAAACTTGTCTCAAATAGCAGCTTCACAAGAGGACAGTATTTCTGCAATCCACAGCCTCTAAAGATATGAAATACATGATAAAGAGACTCTGTAGGTGTTTGGTAGTGAAATGTTATTTGATTTGTATTATGTTAAGTTTATTATATTTTACTTCCGTTTGAATCCTATAGTACAAGTAGCAGTCACTAAGGCCCCATCTACACTGCCATATCATCCATTTTCTGATGCCAGATTGTCTGCTTTGAACTGAATTATATGGCAGTGTAGGCTCATAACAATCCAGTTTAAACCAGATGATCTGAGATCAGATACTGGATTATATGGCAGTGTATATCCAGCCTTTTGACCTTATCACATTAGCCAGGCAAAGTGTCTCACTTCGCCAGCAAACTGAGGGGCAGTGTGGCAAATCTGTCGCCCTGCACGCAACTTTCTTGTGCCAATGCTTTCCTCATCACACAAGGGAAGCATTGCCAAAGCCATGCAGATTGTGTTGGGTCAATGGGAGCCAGCACAACACAAACAGCATCTGGTGTTGTGAGGGAAATGTCGTACTCCAGAAATAGTTGGGACTTCTTCTGGAAATCCAGTGATGTTGTGTGATGGGCAGCATGCCCATCAATCGCTGGACCGGTGGGGAAGCATCCTAGGATGCTAAAAAAGCCTCGTGTGATGAGGTCATTTGTGGCATATGTCCATGAGCACCACATAGGTTTATTATACAATGTTCCTCAAACATTGGTCTTCCAGAGGTTTTGGACTTTGACATCCAGAATTCTTGGCTGATGACCAAGCTGGCTGGGCCACTCATTTCCTAATGATGGGGCTGTCATGAGAATGTTCACCCAGTAGCCACAACTTCAGGAGACAAGAACAAACTCATGAATAATCAGAACTGTGAGTGTGAATCTCACAAAAGTGGAGGGATGACTGTATGGCTTTGTTAATTTAAAATGGTTTTAACCATGCACATTGTTTATTTGTATGTTAAGTAACTGTGTGTGCCATGTTTTTGTATTTCTACATCTGTAATGCATAAGTAATCGGCTAATCTGTGGTAATCGATTCTTGGTGACTATGGACAGAAAATATGGACAACGATCTCTGGACTGTGATTTCAACTCGAGACATATGGGATTATTATTGGTGGCCCAATAATTTGTTATTGTATGTGTATATGTTTTATTGGAGATTGTTTTTAATTTGCTGTAAACCGCAATTGAGTCGCCGATCTAGGCTGAGAAATTAGCGGTATACAAGTGTACCAAATAAATAAATAAATAAATAAATAAAATAAAATAAGTCAACTTGTGCCCCAGCATTGGCGGAAAGGTGGAATAAAAATTAAATGCAATAACAGCAATGGTTGTGATAATACAAATGGTATAAGGTAAAGGTAAAGGTTTTCCCCTGACATTAAGTCCAGTGGTGTCTGACTCTGGGGGGTGGTGCTCATCTCCATTTCTAAGCTGAAGAGATGGCATTGTCCATAGACACCTCCAAGGTCATGTGGCTGGCATGACTGCATGAAGCGCTGTTACCTTCCCGCCGAAGCGGTAATTATTTATCTACTCACACTTGCATGTTTTCAAAGTTCTAGGTTGGCAGAAGCTGGAGCTGAGAATGGAAGCTCACACCGCTCCCGGATTCGAACCTGTGATATTTTAGTCAACAAGTTTAGCAGCTCAGTGGTCTAACCCACTGTGCCACTAGGGGCTCCAACAAATTGTATACCTATGGTTAAAAAGAACATTCTATTCTTATTATTGGTGTACATTTAACATACTTCATGAAATTATGTAAATAAAAATGGGCACAATCAACATTTCAATAGTGAAAGGCAGAAGGAGTTGGAAAAAAGATAACACAAAACAGTGAAAATAAATGAGGTAACTGTTCCATTCTCAGGGTAGAAGCCACAAGGAGGTGCTAGAGAGAGAAGCATGCAAGAAGGCATCAGTGAATGTGTGTGTGTCAACTGTAAAATAAGATGCATGATTGGTCAGGCAATGACTGGGGAGATGGCTGAGCCTGGGACTTTTGAATACTGTTACATTTTTGTTCAGGCTTGAGCTATGCGGGTGTCCTGAGAGATACAGAATTTGGAGTTTGTTCTTGGTTCATGAGCTGCTGGAAGGAGTTTCTCCACATGGACAAAGAAGGACCATTTTAAATCTCTCTAAAAGGACATTTAAAATCAATGCAACATTTAAAGTCGATGCAACTAATCACATAATTGTATATATGGTGATCTACATTATGAAGAGTAAACTACTTGTTCTTTTTTGATCATCTGCATGGCATATTTTCTATCTCTGGCAAGACAGTGTATGAACTGATCAAATGTAAACTATGCGTAATTTTACATTACACCAACATTTTACCCGGGGGGGGGGGGAGGAGTTGAAGGAGAAACACCATTTCCCTTGTTTTCGCTGGTTATTTCCCCTCCCTCCCTTCCTACATCATAAACGAGGGCTGTTTCCATGACGGGAGCATGGGTGGGGGGAATAACAGGAAAACAGGGGGAAATGGTATTACTCCTTCAATCCACCCATCACCCACATAAAATGGACTATTACTCTCTCTCTAGTGCCCCCTTGTAGCCTCCTTCCAGATAATGGAACAGTGCCAAACTGAGTTTGAGGGTGAGAGAAAGATAAAAAGGGAAAATTGTGAACAAGTTGTATTTTTATCTGTACTTTAAAGTTCACACAGCCAAAAACTACAATTGAAGTTAACATTCGCTTCTTGTTGTTTTCAGCTCACCATATTGACAAAGTCAACATCAGAGGCTATTTCGCATTTAAACTGACTGATGAAATAGCCAGACCCAAACTTGGATTCTTCACCTCTGAACGGAAAGCGAAGGCTTCACTTCAGTTCTACAACCAACTCATTAGCAACAAGGGCTTCCCCTTGGACCCTACAAGCAACATGTGTGGCCAACCGAATGAAACCACACCCTGTACTCTCTGCCTGTTTCTAATGCAGAAAAAGCCACTGATATTTTTTGGATGCTGCCTTTTCTGTAATCTCATCTTGCTTTTAAGTATTGTTGTGTTTCACAAAAGGAAAAGAAGGAAATGGCGTTGGTCAAAAAACTTCCGGCCCCTTTATATTCCTGTTAAAAATAGGCAGAAGAAGGGGCTCAATCAAATCTAGATTCCTCTTCTACAATCAAGGGTGAGAAAGTGTGTTGGAAGCACTCCACTGAATGTATACCAAGGTACTTGTACAAGGAAGCACAAAGCATGCTATGATTGTGGTATCCAAAGAGCACGACCAAAATACCCATCCAAATCAATTGATGTCTGTTGCTGTTGTTGTTGTTGTTGTTGTTGTTGTTGTTGTTGTTGTTGTATGTCTTCAAGTTTTTTCTGACTTATAGCAACCCTAAGATAAACCTCTCATAGAGTTTTATTGTCAAAATTTGTTCAGAGGGGATTTGTCTTTGCCTTCCTCTAAGGCTAAGTTAAGGCTAAGGCTAATACTAAGTCATATATATTTCTCATCATCATGGCATTCTTAGACTTCTTGCTTATTTGTACTGTCACATAGCATGATTTAAACAGCGTGCGGAGAAAGATGATCAAAAATAAGTTCTATTTGCTTACTCTACTTTTTTTCAGCCTCAAACTAACCTTTTGATTACATAGACTTTTGTTGATATTCTTAGAACTACATTTATTCTTGGCTGTCTCAGGATGAGAGTTCATTAAAGGAGGGCAGAATTAGAAAAGTAACTTTTGGCAAATCCATCTCACTAAATCCACTATCCAACATGGCAAGTACCTTTGTTGGCTGGGGATTTAGGGACCTAAAGCCCAAAAAATAACATTGGCAATTTCTGGGACAGGGCTATGGCCAAGGAGAAATAAATGGTGCAAAGTTTAATTCAAAATGTTTTCATTATAGAAACATTTTTCTTTTGCATCCTGGTATAATAATTTAACCAGTTTAACTTAAAACAAACAAGATTTGGGAATTTGTGCACTTTTATAAAACTGGCTTCAGATATATGACATTATTAACTTATCCTATCCATGTCATAATTTACAGATATAAGATTTTTTCTTTACTTTTTGAACCTTAAACTTGAAATCTAATTTATATTTCAAATGAACGAATGCTTTGAATATTTCTTGCTAAAAACGTAGTACCACACACTCATGCTTTTGGTACTTCGGGAGCACATAACGGGAAGGCCCCTCCCAGTACAAAAATCAGCTTGACATGAAAGCAAGCTGGACCAGATCCCAGCTCCTGGCCTGCTTTATGGCATCACAGTTTAATCTTTTTTAATTAATCCCCCAGCAAACAAAAAGCAAACCCTCATTCCCTGAAAACTACTCTCCTCTTCCAAGAGGTCATCACTCTTCCTTACCTGGAAGTGAGAAGCCGCCTTAAAGTGCCTTGGAGAGTGGGTGGCTGGCTAGCATGGTGTAGCCCAGGAAAGAAAGCATGCGCCTGCAGCTGAGCTCTTCCCAGAACTTGCCTCCTTGACTTGGAAAGCAAGTGTGTGCATGTGGTATGCAGGCCCAGAAGGGATGTGCCTGCCAGTGCTTGAAGCCGAGCACCTCCTCTAGACTAAGAAATTCTTACTCTAAAGGAGGTGCTTGGCTGCAGAGTGCTCTGAGCTTGCATGCCACACAAGCACTCTCTTTCCAAGGAATGTGCATGAGTGGTATGCAGGCCCAAAGTGCATGTGCACCTGCCAGTGCCTGCAAATGAACACCTCTTACTCTAGAGTAAGAAACAGAACTTGCCTCCTTGCCTTGAAAAAAGAGAGAGTGTGTGGCGTGCAGGCCCTGAAAGCGGAATGCTTGCCAGTGCCTGCAGCGAAGTGCCTCCTCTAGAGTAGAAACAGCAGGTAAGAGAAGTCTCCTTAAAATATGCGCTGAGAAGGGGAGCCTGGGTGGGAAGCCCCCCCCCCCAATAATAGACCGATAGAAAACAGATATTTCAGCACCTCAAAAACAGATATTTGCCTTCCCAATTTCAGAAGGCTCCCAAAGAAAAGATCAGGGCCCCCACCAAAAACCAGGACACGAAATGGGTCAAGGCTTACCCCAAATGCACAACCCTTCTTATTTCATGCTTTAGAATTTCAAGTATAATTTTGAAATTGTCCCTAATTCCCATTATTGCAATAGCTAAACCTGGCATTAGGTGCCCCCTGGTGGCACAGTGGGTTGAACCGCTGAGCTGCTGAACTTGCTGATCAAAAGATTAGTGGTTTGAATCCGGGAAGTGGGGTGAGCTCCTGCTGTTAGGCCCAGCTTCTACCAACCTAGCAGTTCAAAAACATGCAAATGTGAGTAGATCAATAGGGTACCATTCTGCGGGGACATAACAGTGCTCCATGCCAGCCACATGGCCTTGGAGGAATCTATGGACAACGCCGGCTCTTCAGCTTAGAAATGGAGAAGAGCATCACCCCCCAGAATCGGACAAGGCTAGACTTAATGTCAGAGGAAACATTTACCTTTTTAATGGTAAATGGCATTAATGTAGCAAATGGCATTAATGTAGCAAATGCTTTTTAGAATGAATGAGTGTAATGAGAAACATTCTTTAAAAACCACCATTTTAAAGACTATGTGGTCAAGCATAGTATCTGCAGCCCTTATAAATTGCAGTTTGAGAAAGGTCTGAAACAGACTATCTCAAAATTAAAAGGTAGGTAATAAAGGAATCTAAGAAGGTATAAATACTTAAAGCATTTATGAGTACAAAATAGCTTTAGTGTACAATTGAATGCAGATTTGGAAGAATTAAGATCATAGACTACACACCAGTGCTCTGATTTGGGCTTCAGAGGAGCTGTCTCTATTATTATGGACATTATAATAGAAGTGATTGCACCGGTGTGTGTGTGTGTGTGTGTGTGTGTGTGTGTGTGTGTGTGTGTGGAGTCTTTCTTAATGCAAGAATTTTCAAAGAATTGCATTTGAAAACCACAATCTTTTTTTTTTAAAAAAGCCTGGATAATATTAGCATTTTGGAAGATATAATTTCATAATTCCTTGGCTTCATTCAGTGGAGATAACTAAAAGCAGTGGAGAAGTTTGTGACTTCTTTTGGCTGCATGAAAAAATTACACTCCAAACTGTTTGAGACCGAAACTGAATGTATGCAGCTGAATTTTGCTCTTGGATTGAGTCATATTCCGTGATGAACTTTACCGTTACGTATTTATTTTTATGTATATTGCAGACTTCCATCTTCATGTAAAAACATATTCAAATGAGTCAGAAATTGTCATTCTTTAATATATACCTTACTCATTAAAAGTTGCATTTTCACAAACTGCAGAAATGAGTCGTTTTTTCCATTAACATTTACCAATCTGCTTCTATGCATGTGTGGCATTTCTTTTTTAAAAGCCCTCTCAAGACGGTGTATATTGAAGAATCAGCTGTAATTTTAAGTATGTGCTGTGTGCAGGAAAAAGCTTGATGCCAGCGGTCTCTGTCTCTGGAGGAAGTAGTCATTTGGAGCTCATTTCTGAAAAGAAAAGAAAAAGAATGAACAAAAATGTGGACCCTTACCCCATCCTGCCTTTTAAAAACAGCACAAGAGGATGGGCCAAGTATGTAATGTTTAATGCCTCTGTATAATAATTCCAACATGTACCAAGATCTTTGCTGGAAACTCCTTTCCTTGAACTCTGCTACATTATTTCCACCCAATTGTCTAGCTCAGGATGCTTAAGTGCTTGATGATGTTTCTGCACAAAAGGATTATCTCCCTGTCTCATTTCATATTCACATCTGGTTGCAGGAAGGAAATGGCTTTTGTCAATTTGGTGGACCATCTAGACTGAGAAGGATATCTGTGCACATACCTCCTGTTTGTTCTATTGGATATCTCAGCAGTTTTCATTATCCATCACAATATTGTTCCAGATAGAATCATAAAGTTGGAAAAGACCACAATAATGATAATAATAATGATAATAATAACAACAACACTTTATTTATATTCTGCCCTTCTCACCCTGAAGGGGACTCAGGGCGGATCACAAGTACACATACAAGGCAAACATTCAATGCCATTTGTATAGACAGTACACAGACAGAACAGAAGGAGGCGTTGTGTCGTGCCATGGACGGTTGAGCTCAAGTCCACAGGGAGTGCTGTCGCTCCATCCTCTATGACAAAGAGCCATCAGGACGTCCTCATTCCAGCATTTTCTGATCTTCTTTTTCTTTATGGCATTGTAAAACATCTCCCCAACCCCAGTCCAACCCCTTTATGCCATTTAGGAACACACGTTCAATGCACTCCTGACAGATGGTCACCCAACTTTTGCTTAAAACCCTGCAAAGAAGAAGACATCATCACACTCTAAGGGCCCTTCCAGACAGTCTCAAAATGCGGGACCTGTCATATTTTTTACCTGAGGCATCCAAATGATATCGAAGGTAAAAGCAAAGTAATGCAGAGTAAACCAGGTTTTTCTAGTTTACTCCACATTAAACACCTCTAAAGATCTTGAAGTGGGGAACCTGTGGCGACTGACTCTCTGGACTGCTTCCGTGGTCCTGAGGGGTCAGTCCCCACAGCACTCCTGGTTCTTTGGGCTCCTAAAAACTTGGAGAAGTGGGATGGTGCCCCCTCCTCTTCCAGCCCCCCCCCATTTCACACCCCCAAATTGACTGTAGGGAATTGCAGGCAGCAAAGCCCCCTCTTTACACATCCTAACGCGTCATTTGCTTGCATCAGGAGGACTGAACAGAGAACTGTACAGGCCCCTTCAGTAAGTTTGGGGGGGGGGTGTGAAATGGGGAGCTGGAGGGGGGCTGGATGGCATCCTGGGTCATCCTTTTGACCCAGAATGCCATTTAGCCACCCTCTCAAGAAAGCCCAGGATTTGGGTTGAGGGTAGGAACTGTTGTGACTCAGCTGGAATCACAGAGTGATGGTGTCAATTATGCTGATGGGGATGATGAGATTCATATTCAGAGTCAGAGTCAGATGCAAAGCAAGGATGTTCCTGTGTTAGACGAGGAAGGCCAGGACCAGGGACCAGAAGTTCAATTGTTTCCCACGGCAAGGGTTAACGCTGGGGAAAGTGAAACTACTAAGAGTGAGAGCCAGGTGCCTGGTGAAGGAAGGGAGGAAAGGGAAGATGCAGGAAGGGAGGATAGTTCTCAGCC